TATACAATCCCCTTGATGATCACCGCTACTGAATAGATCCAAGCCAAAGTCATGAAAAGAGGCATTGACCGGCTCAAGATACGCAAGAATCTAGAAAGGGAGCAGCAGGCAAACAAAGGTTTAGGAGGATATTTTCAGAGGCAGCAGCTATTGTTTCTAAAGACTCTTAGACCCAGGGAATTAAAACTATCCTAGGAAGCATTCTTGTTGTCACCATCTTGAAGATACCTTTGAGATGGTTGAAGGAGGCTTCTTACAGCACCTTCCTCTCAAAGGACTGTAGTAGGGACTTTTTTAAAGCAGAAATTCTATTATATCCTCCAGCTAAGAGAAGGTGTGATTTTAAAATTTGTCACAATATGGCAGTGATGGCGAACCTTTTAGAGACCGAGTGCCCAAAACCCGCCCCCCACCCTCGTCCCCGCTCTGCCCTGCCTGCTGGGCCACCCACCACCTCCACGGCCCACCACAGATCACCCAGGTAGCCCAGCAGTGCCATGGCAGCCACGCCCTCCACCCATGCCCCACAGCATCATCTATGCATGACGGGGCATAAGGGCGGAGTCTTGTCCCCGCTGCCCGGTTACCATGTCCTTGGCTATGCTGCTTCCCATGGGCTGTGCCCGTGGGCAACTGTCCTTTGGAAGAGCTGCTGGTGAGGAGGGGGCCGTGAGAGGAGGCGGGGCTGGGGCAATGGTGCGTGTGCCCACAGAGAGGGCTCCGAGTGCCGCCTCTGGCACGCGTGCCATAGGTTCGCCACCACTGCAATATGGCTTGTTCTGCATTAAGGTGGAGCCAGAAATATCAACAGGATATTCATCTAATAAGTCTTACGTGTCATCCACATAACATGGATAAGGCATCTGCTGAACGTAGACACCAGTTTTCTTCTCAGAGCCTGTCAAAGTCCGTATGATTGCTTGCTCTATTACATCCTGCAAGTAGGCGAAGCCTCCCCAAATGTAGCGCATGTCATCAAAAGGATCAGCTCGAGGACCTGGGTCCCAGAACCTGTAAGAACAGGCAAGAACAATTTACTGCTGTACTGACTGTAAATTAAAGTTCTCAAGTCTGAGACTATGAAGTCAGGATCTTAACAAAGCTCTGCTCCAAAGGATGCTCACTTGTCCTTGATTTTGTTGGTCCTTTCCACGCTATCAATATCCATCCGAATCTTATATTTGACATGATGGGGCAAATTCACACTCTGAGGAGCAATTTCAGGAAAAATTACGCCAGCCCAGAATCGTCTCTGGTCCAGCAGTTCCATGGATTTTCTGATAAGCCATCCTTCGTCAGGCACAGCTTCCAACTTGTTCAAATTGACGCACTGAAATGACAACCAAGAATTGAGTTAGAAGCTGAAGTTTATTTTGGAGGGAAAATTTGAAAAAAACCAAAATGTTGTCAAATTTTTGCCTAGGAACTTGTTTTCTGACTTTGATTCTGCGTGAACTTTTGTTTATTTTGCTGTATATCATAGTTTGCGGCGCTTAGAGGGCCTTAATTAAAAGCATGTTTCTAGAACAGAGTCTGTTCTTATGTCATTTTAGTCAAAAGTCCTGTTTGACTTCTCACAACTTAATTTGAAGAGTAGGAAACTTTCCAGACATTTCAGATGGCAGTTTCTATAAAACTAAGACAAAATTATCAATGATCAGGGATAATCAAAGCGGGAATCCAAAACCAGGTTGCCTGACCTATTTCAAAAATGGTGACAATAGGTTAGTGACTTTTATGTATATCGCTTTTCCTAAACCAAACAAAAACTCCAGGGATCTGGTTTAGGTCCCTTGAACAATTCATGTGGCAGAGCACTCATGGGTATCTCTTCTCCAGTTAGGAACCTTAATCTCTCTGTGAGAGACAGATAAGTAACAATAAAGGAGAATATTTGTAGCTCAGGGTTGAAATGAGAGGTCCTCTGAGCTTGCTTGTTTCCTTAAAGACGTTTCACTACCCAAACTAGATAACATTATCAGAGAGCATCAAGGACCCCTCATAGATAAGTAAGGACCACAGATAACTTCCAGGCTAACAAGGAAGGAAGGAAGGAAGGAAGGAAGGAAGGAAGGAAGGAAGGAAGGAAGGAAGGAAGGAAGGAAGGAAGGAAGGAAGGAAGAGGAGGGAGGGAAGGAAAGAGAGAAAGAAAGAAAGAAAGAAAGAAAGTTTAAAAAAACCCTCATCTATCACCATAATCCCTAATTCAAAAACTCATCCTGTATGTCTTCACTTCGTTCCTCTTATAAAAATCACCTTTTACTTTGGAATCAATCATCTTAACAAACACAGAAAGTAAAACACTTCCTTAATCGTCCATCAAGAATAGGAGACTCACTTCCATAAAACGGGAAATAGTCATAATGGCTTGATCAGTTTCATTGAATGCATTCCTCCAGCTATAAGCAGAGCCATTCACTGGACGGACATCCTCAGGGTGTTTTGCCAGGAACTGGGCAACCTCTTCCATGGTCCATCTTGAATTGACCAAGTATTGGTTCCAAAGGAGCTCACTCTTCAGCAAAACCTAAAGTAACCAAAAGAGCCAAAAGGTTTAATTTAATTAAACTCGCTCTGAAAAGAGGGAAAAAGAAGAGCTATTGTCATTCATTCATTCCACTTGAAAGTTGAGCTTATTGTTACAGAACAGGGGATCTAAACTTCTGTAAGGTATGGTATAGCAGTTTGCTATATAAGGAGAAAAACAATAAAATTTCTATTTCTATCAATGTTTATCAATAATTTGAAACAGGTGTTCACAGCAACCTTCCCCAGCCTATTAAAGGTCTTCGGGCAAAGTGGTTACAGGTATGCAGGCAGGGAATGATGGGGAATCACACTCCAATATGTTGGCCAGATAGAGAAGGCGGTTGGCATGCAGCAGCCCAAAAGGAATTCTTGTTTCTTTTTATGGTTGAAAACATAGTAAAACTGCTTGTAATTTAATTCTGTTCTGATCTTTTCCTAAGAGCTTGGATTATTTGAAAACCATTTGTTAGGTCAGCTGCCAACTTTGTTTCCTGTCCACCGCTCCTCAACCTGCCATGTTGACTGCCTCGGGAATCTCTGTAAAACATTTATGCAGGAGATCTGGAGTGAGGCCTTCACAGGACCCCTTACGTATCACAGGAACCGTATAGACTTATGGGATGAGATAAAAAATCAGTCTCTTTTATTGCACCCTCAATCAGTGAAAGAACAGGGCACGGTTTCCAGGCTGGTTCCACCAGGTGGCAACCTTGTATAAGATCTCCAGAAAACCAAGTAGCGTTGAACAAAGTAAACAACCATTTCTGAAGCCAGAACAACAGGATGATGGAAAAGGAAGAAATTGTTTCCATTTGTATGACCCAAAATGGCTCTAAAAGCCCAAGGCTTCCCACTGGCCAGTTCAGTCCTTGTGTATGGAGTAAAACTGGAGCAATTCATGGAGCAAGCAATTCTTCCATCTTTACTTAGAAACACGTCCTGCACGTCCTGGGGTACAAAATTGCAACCCCTTTCTCCAGGACTGGAGTAAGGTGCCACAAATTATTTCTGCCAGCAAAAAGACACCACTGTCAAATTGAGATTCCCTGCTGGCAGAATAAAGCCTGAAGTGGCTTGATATCAAACTGTATTACCCTCAGGGGAATGCAGCCTAAGAGGGGCTTGCCTCCCCTCCCCACCCCGAACTGTAATCTCCTTTGCGTGGCCACTATACCTACTCTGCCGCTTTTACATCGTGATCCAGATAGTCCTCAACTTACAGCCATGATTGAGCCCAGAATTACAGTCCTAAGTCATGTGGGTTGTTAAATGTGTCAGCAAGTGACTACACCCGATTTTACACCCTTTTTTGTGGAGGTTATTAAGCCAAGGCCAAGGCTGTCACGTGAAATTGACTGCAACAGACTTCTTGCCAGAAACATATAAATAAACCCAAAATGTCATAAATTCTGATCACATGACCGCGGGATGCTGAAGATGGCTGTAAATGCAGGCCGGTTGCTGGGTGTTGTCAATCAGAATTTTGAATTGAGGTCACAAGTAGCCCTGGGGAGGGGGGGATTATCTGTTGTAACTTTAAATGGTTGCTCAGCAACCAGTAGTAAGTTGAGGACAATCTGTATTTTTGCACTGTTTTGGCTTTGGGCAAATCCAATTCCACTTTCTGTTCCTTTTTTCCTTTTCCAGCTTTTTCTTGGGGGGGGGGCATATGGTGCTTCATATAGCCCCAGACACCTGGACGTTGGATTAGAAGGCAAATTGATTACATAGCATTTGCAGAATGATGTTGACTAATGTTGACCAAAAAGCCTTTTTAAGTAGTTGCATCTTTTTATTTCTCCCTTCTGGGTTCCTCAACTTTACCCTTCATTTCTTTGTGTAAAATTATCCTTTTTCACAGACAGACAGCTAGTGGCGTCTAGCGGAGACTGCAAGCAAAAAAAAAAACAAGTGAACCGGAAAGGTTATAGGCCTGCATATACTTAAATATTCTGTTTATTATATTTTTTAAGGTAGGGAGCAAAAAAAAAAATCCTAGCTCTGAGAGCAAGTGCTAGAAAAGAATGTCAGCCAGCAAACAATGGGAAAGCTATGTGATTTTGCTGCTGGTTACATCTGTTCCAGCTGTGACAACACTCCAGTGCAGGTCACGTTGACCTGGTTGCTCTGAAGATACAGAATAGCAGAACAGATTTTACATGCTTTGCCCTGATAATTTCAGAAGGAACAACTGGAACATAAGGTGACAACCAAAGACTGACAGTTATGTCCCAGTCTTGAAACTAGAAACTAAAAACAAAGTCACATGATGCAGGAATACTATGAGACTGCCAGGGGAAGCAGGCAGCAAATCAGAACGGCAAGTGTGGTAAGGGCTGACATCTGATGCCAAGAACCTACGTTTTCAACAGAATAAAACCAGCACAGATTTTGCACTGAAGGTAAGAAGAATAGGGAACAATAATAAGAAAGTGAACAAGAAATAAAGAAAAATATTCCAAGCAGTCCCAAAGATGCTTTTTCAAAAGGCCACTGGACTTCGTTTTTCTTTGAAGACGTTTCGCTTCTCATCCAAGAAGCTTCTTCAGCTCTGACTGCTGAAGAAGCTTCCTGGATAAGAAGCGAAACGTCTTCAAAGAAAAACAAAGAAAGTTCAGTGGCCTTTTGAAAAAAGCACATTTGGGACAACCATGACCTGGATGGCTGAGAATCTCCACAGACATTTATTCCAAATTGGTTCTAAGCAGGTTCTGAGTTATTAAAATCCTCTTTATAGATCCGCCATCTGTTTATATAATGCAGTGGTTCTCAGCCTTTTTAATGCTGCGACCCCCAACCAGTCGTAAGTCGAGGACTAAACCGGTCGTAAGTCGAGGACTACCCAACCGGTCGTAAGTCGAGGACTTTCCCTGCCCGGGAGCACCGCACATGCGTGGATCCACCCCCTGCGCCGGCCGAGGCGTAGCTGGCAAGCGGCAGAGACGGAGCAGGCCGACCACCAGCTGGCCCAGCCCAAGGGAGGTAAGGCACCTGTCGGAAAAGGGGGAAAAAATGGCGGACAGCCTTGCTTGGCGACCCCCGTGAAATGGTCGATCGACCCCAAATGGGGTCGCGACCCATAGGTTGAGAACCGCTGATATAATGTATAAAAAGTCTCATTCAAAGATGGGAGTATATAAATTATAAATCAGCAAAAACCAGCTGCCTAGAGTTGCTGCAACAGTGAGATGGGTAGCATATAAATTTAATTAATATTTATTTTAGTATTTTATTAAAAAAAATAATTTTTTCCAAGCTATGTTATGACAGCTTTTGGGGGGGGGGGATTTAGGAATGTTTTCCTTTTTTTATGTTATCAAATTGCACAAAAATCTGTGATTTTTCTCTGTTCTAGGTTTTGTTCTGGGCCTTATTTGAATTCTTGTATATTACAGTGGTGTTTTATGTGTCCTGCGTTTTCATTTGTTAAATGATTCATGTGTCTAATGATCATGCATCCCTTAAAAATTAATCAGGAACCTTGGATTAAAGAACTATGTTTTACTACAGGGCGGCACAGCTGAGTCCTCAGAGACAAGACATCATCTCCCTCCCTCAGTTAAATGTGTGAGGAACCACAACATGTGCTGATGCCCATTTGTCTCCTCTGTCACGCTGAGCAGAGCTGGAGAGTGGAAGGAAGATACAAACAACAGACAATATCCAGAGAAAAGAAAAGAAAACCCGGCCTGCATCTTGTCCAAATCATACCTTTACGGTACAGTTTGTGTTCCTGGTTAAACTCTAAAGCCACATCCTGTCGTGTGAGAGGATGCCGCAACCTAAACATCTATCACAATCCCCCAACTGACTTTTGTGTCGCTGCCAATTATTTGGAAAGAGGCAGCCGGGAGAGATTTTCCTGGAAAATGTTGTCCGTGTTTTGCCAATAGCGCATTGTTCTTCTCACATGCCTGGATTCCTCTACCATTTTTTTTTACAGTCTATGTGAATACCTTTTACAGTCTATGTGAATACCTTTTTCTTCAAGCTTGTCTGCCTTAAGACCAGTGTTAAGGTTAGATTCAGAGACTGTTTAGTTAAAAAGCGGTGCACAGATGGTAACTGCGCTTTCCTCCCGTATGTGTGAAGCTCTCACCCCATTACATCACACAGGCGGGAGAAAGAACACAAAAACTGACCCTTCCCTTTACTATAAATAGGGCTTGTATCTTACACTATGTCCTTGAATCCATGCCTGCAAGGTTTCTAGTTCTAGCATTGGCCAGGAAAAGCATGACAACTTGGCACTTCCCGGGTCTGTTAGGACTCTGCATTTGAGCGTCTTCAGCCAGCAGCGCCACGATTAAATAAAACCATTACATTGTCCATCTGTTTTTGATAAACTCTTAATTCCTTGGAAAGGTAGTTTAATCAGTGAAACATATCCCTTTTAGAAAACCAAAGAGTTATTTCCTTTTTCTCTTTTCCCAGAAAGCTTCACACACAGAAGAAATATGAACCCAAGACCCCAAATCAATGTCTGGCAGTCTGGCCATTAAAAAAACACTGAGTCTCCAATACTAAACAGAAACACTCGTGAAAACGAAATGGAACGAAAGCCTTTCGGTAATATCCAAAGAACGAAGCTTAAAATTATTTACTGTTATGATCCCCTGTAGCTAATTAAGTGTCCTGCTCCATTTGGGGAGTACAAAAAAAAAAAAGGACAGCTTGCAAAGTAATATCTGCGTACATGTTCTCTAGTGAAATGTATGCACCCAGCACAACAGAAAGTGAAGCTTGAATACCCCTCATTTTGCACACTTCTCAGCCACATCCTTGGCAGATGTTCTTCATGCAGAATAGCCTGCGGAATAGCCTGATTTATGGACCAGTCAGAATCTGTCTCATGTCCTACAAATCACCCCATTCAACACATGGAAACACAGCAGGGAGAGGCACTGTGTATATAGCATTGCACCTTTCTTCTCTGTCCCAGGATATTATCACATCGCACGGGCAAGAGAGCTCCAGACAAAGGAATTTGGCAGAAAGAACCAGCTACTATACTCAGACATGGGCAGAAACACTCAAGGCCAAATGGTCGGTCACAATACTAAAATAAACAAACCTTTTGTAAATTTGCCCCAGTGTTATCAGAGAGACAAAGGAGTTATGGAGTTATGACATACTGACCCGGATCAGATCCATCTCCTGGCTTTCTTCCATGAAAGTTTTAAGTTTTGGTTTAATCTCTTCCCACATGCCTCCAAGTTCATGGAAGACACCTAGCTCTTGGAATGTCTTGTTGACCTGGAACAACAGCAAAAAGGGTTTTAAAATCACTTAATGTAACATATTGGCTTCCAGATGTTTTGTTGCGCTAAGAACTGATGTTTTAGTGAGAGGGGAAAAAAGGAGATGTTTCAAATTAATGTCCTAGTACATTCCAGATGTTCTGGACAACAGCTCCATCACTCCAGGTAGTAGGGATAATAGATTTCTGGGCATCAAGCAAACGATAGCTTCTTAGGCTATGTAATTTAACAAGTGAGCTAGAAGCTTACAGAAGTTAATCAGCATTAAATATATGAGTAGAATCGTCTAGGACAGTATACCAACATCAAATTTGTGAAAAGACGACCCAGGTATAGAATTCAGTCTGGCCTTTGGCCATCAAGACTTTGAAAGGGACAGTGCAGACATGTCCAGTGTGTCCAATCTCCCAACCAACAAAAATAAAGTGGCCAAAACATCATGCCTATATTGAAAGATCTCATTTAACCTATGAACTCTATAAGGGGTCGCCCTTGAAGACTACCTGGAAGTTACAACTGGTCTGGGATGCAGAAGCACATGCAGTGCTGGGCAATCCTTTTATTTATTTATTTTATAGCACTTACTCAGAGGGATTCTGGATATCATTTACCACAAAGGGGGGAGGGATAAAAAAAAATGATCTAGATTAATGCAGAAAACAGAACCAAAGTCAAAGACCAAGATAGATATCCTCAATCAACAAGCTAAGGTCAAAATACACTGAACTAAAACAGATTTAAATTTTCTTACTGAATTAGAGTAAGTGTAGGAGTTATGTGTATTTCTGGAGCAAAGATGTTCCATAAAGTCGTTCATGACACCCTGTTGGACTATTGCTAAAACAAGCTCAGTTTGGCCTGCTGTGACTGGCAACTCTCCAATATTCTAGTTAGGACTAAGCAAAAAATCTTCTCCAAATGTAGGAAGACCGGAGAGATCATTATACTGTAAAACTATAATAATTTACAGTAATGAATTGAGGTATTCCTATTTTCTAACTTCTGCTACAATAATCACTGATGTCAGTTTCTCTCCAGGCTGTTGGCTGGGAGCTGTGCTTTTTCCCAACAATACTCATCACACTGACGCTAAGTCCTGAGGGAACAAAAGAAGGTGGCTATTAACTGGTGTTCCAAAGAAGAATCCTGTTTCCATTAATACCTTCGGCAGCAAAGAAAAAAAGTCTTTAAAAGAAACTATTGCTTCCGCCACAATTAATAAAGCTTGTGTAATTTTAGTCTTTCTGATACAGGTAGTCCTCGACTTACAACAGTTCATTTAGTGACTGTTCAAAGTTACAACGGCCCTGAAAAAAGTGACTGATGACCATTTTTTACACTTACGACCGCTGCGGCATCCCCATGGTCCCGTGATCAAAATTCAGATGCTTGGCAACTGGTTCATACTTATGACCGTCGCTGTGTCCCAAGGTCATGTGATCCCCTTTTGCGACCCCTTGACACGCAAAAATCAGTGGGGAAGCCAGATTCGCTTAACAACCGTGTGACTATCTTATCAACTGCAGCGATTCACTTAACAACTGTGGAAAGAAAGGTCGCAAAATGGGGCAAAGCTCACTTAACAAATGTCTCTCTTAGCAGCAGAAATTTTGGGCTCAGTTGTGGTCATAAGTCAAGGACTACATGTACCGCCTTGGAGCCCTTTTTCAAATCTGCCCTTAATGAATACATAAACGCACCATTTCAAGATAAAGTCTCAACATTCGATCCAAAGTTACAGCCTGAGATTCCAAACTGGAGATGCTAGAGAACAAAATCTGATTCCTTTTTTCTAGCCCTGACCTGTCTCTGACTTTTCCATTCTTCTTGGGATTTCAGTTGAGAACATTCAGCAGCAGAAAATACCAACATGTCCCTTTGCTGGGTGGACAAGAAACTGGGTTAAGGTTCTTACCTCTGACATAATTGTCCTTGTTGCTGGTGTATCAGGGCTGTACAGAACTTTTCCAACAAGCAAAGGCTTCAGGGCCCTCCAGATAATCCTGGAAAGCGGGTTGGATTCCAGGGTCTTCATTAAGTTATTGCAGAAAGGTGCTTTAAAAAAAATAATAATCAGAAAATAACTGTGGGTGATAAAAATCCCATGCCCAGAACATTCCCAGCTTGGAGAGCACACTCAGGTTTTATAGTACAAAATTATCCACCATTTCTTTCCTCTCTAGCTTTTGCATGTTTGAGATGGCAAGAGGTGGTTCTCTCAATGATTTGCCACACAGAAAACATCTGCAGGCGTTCTTGGATTCAATTTACTTACTGGTATAGTTATCATAGAAATCCACTGCATCGTCATCAGAGCTGTTGCTTCCAAACAATGCTTTGTAATTGTGGTCTTCATACCAGTTGAGGGACTTGATCTGCAATCCCCCTCCCTCAGGGTGGCCACAAACAATTCGAGATACTGCCTGGTAGATATCAGCAGAAGAACTTGTGGAATTCATGTTGGTCAGGAACATCACCTCTTGTCTCATGTCACTCCAACTTCTCATGCTCACTAACTGCAAGTCGTAAGACAAAAAGAAAGGAGGGTATAATCTATCAATGGTATTTTAAAAAAATGAAAAACCACCCTAGTTTCTTGCAGAATTGGAACTATGAAAAAGTTTGCCACTGCCATTTTTCCAGTTTATAGCCCAGAGTTTTCCTGTTCAAAAATACTGCCCAGGTCAGGAAAGACTGCTCAATATTTCTTGAGATCAGTTGGCTAGCTTTTGCAATCTCAGCTGAGCAACATAATATTGCTTCAAAAAGCAATGCTAATTGCTATCTACTCATTAAAAAGTGTCCAACAAAATAATGTGCCAATCCTGATTTCAATTGATTAACTATTTTTAAAAGCCACATTTTTGTATCATGTTTATTGTGGTTGCAATATTCCATTTTCTGTGTGCCCAATTTTCCTCCTTAAACATTTTTGCTGGTTTACAATAAATGCTTTGTCTCCCTTACTCTTTGCATCGTTATCTTGGATTCACTATAGAGTGTACACTAATTGAACTTAGTTTTGATATCTTCCTGAAAGAAACAGAAATTTCTTTAAAGCATAGACACCTAATACAATTGTTCAAGTCAATAAAATGTAATAATCATGATCATGCATAAATTCTGATCCAATTAAGGCACTCAGTGTTGTGATACATAAACTCTAAAATAAAATGCCATGTAAAATATATCCTCCATGGATAAGCCAACCCCCATTTTCTTTATGGTATTTTGGTTAAAAATTTGAGGTTCACCTTAGCCATGGATACACATATATGCAAGTATATAGGAGTACTTTAAGAAGGTATTACCATATATACTTGTGGATAAGCCGATCCGTACATAAGCCAAACCCAACTTTGGGGGGCTATATTTTGGCACTCAAAATTGTTGGGTTATCTGCCTGTATACTGTATATGGTAGCTTTAGAGCACACAGGAGTACAAAGGTAGCATGTAGCCGTAACTCATGAAATAAGCTGCAGCAATTTTTCAGAATTGAATCAGAAATATTATACGGTCCATGCCCAAACACTAATTACAGCCAATCCTCTTGCCAATTACACTTTGGAGCAGTAAAACACATATTTACTTATATTTACTTTCAAGAGCTATATGAAGAACAGTCCAGGGTGCAAATTATCCAGGAACAATTCACAACAGTAACCTCACAAGCCACATAGTGCAGAAAAAAGGGAACATCACCACTGAACAGACTCCATTTTGATTAGGAGATTACCATGAGGCAGCTGGTGCAACCGTTAGCATGGATGCCTGAGAGCCTCCAGCTCTTTGTCTTCCAGCAAAATGGAAGAATGCTGGTAGGACTGGTTAATGGCCAAAAATACTGAAATGCCACATGCTAAGTCAGTATTTCCCAACCTGAGCAACGTTGAGATGTATGAATTTCAGCTCCTAGAATTCTTAGCAATAACTCACATGGAGGCCACATAGCACCATCTCGGAAGTGGTTAACCTTTGGGGAATGGCTGCAATTCATTGTGGTCGCTCCAAAATAGCGCCTGCTTCTGAGGTGATGCCATGCAACTTCTGCACTATATAGAGAGATCAATAGGCAGATCAGCTGGCTCTCCTTCCTGAAGGCAATCTCCAAGATCTTGGAAGAGAGCCAGCCAATCCGCTCCTCAGCCTCCCTATACTGTACAGAGGCCAAATAGCACCATCCTGGAAGTGGGCCCCATTTTAGGAATGGCCGCAATTGATTCCCAAAGGTGATCTCTGAATAGGAAACCCACATGGCAGATTGGCTGCTCCTGAAGGAGAGATATGGAAACGGTACATGGACCCAGCCATGATGGTATGAGTGGGGAGGAGTGTATGAAATCCAGCAGGGGAAGGCCAAGGGTAGGACATGTGTGAACTGAGGAGGTGCAGCAGTGCAGGCCTGGGTTTGTACTAGAGCTTCTCCTATCCGAGGCACTCTGCTTAACAACCACAAGGGCCTAGAACAGGGATTGTGGTTGTTAAGCAAGGTAATCTCATGAATGCCTTGCTTAACAATCTCCATTACAGTCATAAATCGAGGACTACCTGCAAGGATTTGAAGTATCCCTCATATCGCAGTACAACTCTTAGAATTCCTTACCACTAGCCGTGCTTGTTGCCAGTGCTGGGAGTTATGACTGAGAATCATTTACGGTGCATCCTTGCTTTTAATACCGAAAAAAAATCAGTAGTGCCAGAAGTAAGAATTTAGAACCAAGTTTGTTTTTTTCCTTCAAAGTCTGATTGTCTGTGTTTTAAACACCTGGCCTCAATCCCTACTTGTAAACAGCATAGCCTGTTCCATAGAAACTGGTTGACATTACTACTTAAAATCATTTCTCAACAGCTAGAAATGGCTGGGTTTAAAATTGGCATGTATTTAAACAGGCCAGAATATTCCCACCAGTGATGCATCTCCTTCCCACCTTCATAGAAAAAGGCAGCCTAACAAATGCAATGTCTCCCCCACTTGTAAGGAAATCAAAGACAGAGAGTATAAAATTCATTCCTGTAAGTATTTGTCACAGATATACAGGAAGTCGGGCTACGAAAAGCAAGCCATACATCCAAGGCTGGTGGTCATCTGCACTCCCACAGCACAATGCCACCCCCAAAAGCAGCCTTTGTTTTGAACTTAAATAGAAATGGGGGGGGGGAGGGAAGCTGTTTGCTACTTGGAACAACTGCCAAGGAGAAATCACATCCCTCAGCCAGACCTATTTTACATCCACATCAGCAAAGAGAAGATCGTATGACTAAAAGAAAAGAAGAAGAAAAAGACAAGAAGAAAATAAAACACAGGAAATGATACCAATGGTCTGATGATGCAATAGGAAAGAGTTACACAATAATCAGAACGCCCCAGCCCAGGCAAACTTTTAAGGCTATTCTGTTGCCTGTACTTCGTCCTGATTTCATCCAGATTCTTTTGTTACTTCTGTTTTCCAGCTAAGAAGAGTTGATGCAGGGTCTAGGATTCAAGAACCGTTTCCTCCAATGAGAAATAACTAACATGGAAATTGTGATGATGGGACAGACCTACACATCTACACGCACATACACAGGGCACCAGTCCTCCACTGAAGCAATGTGCTCAAAAAAACCTCAAGTGACCTCAGACAGCTAGAGGTTATTATAGTTCAGAGATTTAACATTCCAAAGCTGTGGAGCCGGAAGGGAAAAAAGAAAATACAGTAACTTGTGTAGACTTTTTTTTTTCATTCTTTGCTTAAAGCAGCAAAGTTTCAAAAGTAGGCAAAAGCATATTTAACATTCAAAAATCCTAATGCTTTATACAGATTAGCCCAAACTGAGAGTTTATTTGCTCAGAAGGGAAAAAAAGGTACTGCATAATGTCAGTTATAATTTAAAAAAAAAAAAAAGGAGGGCAGGCGCTAGGCCAGGGGTAGGCAACCTTGGCTCTTTTATGACTCGTGGACTTCAACTCCCAGAATTCCTGAGCCAGCATTGCTCAGCTTGGAAACCTCTCCCTTTCCCCGCAGCGTGGCTGGCTCAGGAATTCTGGGAGTTGAAGTCCACGAGTCATAAAAGAGCCAAGGTTGCCTACCCCTGCTCTAGGCTTACAAACTGAGATAATGTGGATTATCACACAATTAACAACCCATCAATCCACATTTCACATGGTTTCCACTCACGGATTCCATACTTTCGCCCCCCCCCCAATAATAATAATACATGCCTCATATTCAAGATTACCCACTAGGATCCAACCACTTCGGCAAAGGGGAAATAACCCAAATCCATTTGAGGCAACGCCTATAACAAAACGTGCACTGTAAGGTCACAAACAAGCTCATTTCTTACACATTTGCACTGCAATACTATACACAGGGGGTAAAATTTCCATCACAATGTCACAATGCAAATTTGCCACTTGTCCTCCACCTTTTCCACGAACACCAACATGCCCAAGATCACAACTCGTTGGCTATGTTGATTCACATTATGACTTGAATAAGTGGCCTGAGACAAAGAGGTGGAAAACACACTCTACCTCTTTAAGAAGATTCCCGAGGCTCTGGGTCAGTGTCTCCATAGTTCCCTTAACATCCTCCAGGGTTGAATTGAAGGTGATCCCTTTCTGGAAGAACAAATGGAAGTTTACAATTAAGTGAAAGTTACTGCAACATAGAAGGAGTAGGGGTCAGTTTGACCATTACATTTAAAGAAAAATCAATATGGATGTATTGAATCAACAGGCCCAGTTTGGAAAAAAACCAAATCCAAATCAGAACCACCACTTATCTCTCAAAAAAGATACCACTAGGATCCCATTGGCCTGCTTCTTCTTCCTTGTGTGGTTCTGATCATCCTCATATTTATATCTTTGCACATCTCACATGGCATGGCTATTGCTATGGAGAATTATCTCACACTAACCCAGACATGTCAAACTCAAGGCCCGGGGGCCGGATGCGGCCCGCGAAGTGGTTTCATGTGGCCCGCGAAGCCATCCTGGAAACAGGAACGGCCCCCGCTGCCTTGGCCCTGGCCCAGGCCGACCGGGAGCCAATATACAATTTTGTGGTGGCCATCTAGGCTGAAAGGCATTCAGTCTTAGCTCCACAAGGCCGTCTAGAAACAGCGAGGAACCAGCCCCTGCCGTGTTGGCCCCGCCCTCTGGGTGCATGCTGGGCAGGTGTCACCCTTTGTGAGGAATGAAAAAATGGACCATGCCTTGGCACTTGCCCCAGTCCCATCCCCTTCTGCCAGAGACCCTCAGATCTGTCCCACTCCTGCCCAGGCCCCCACAGGCACCCTTGACGCGAACGATGTAGAGCTGGCCATGCCCACCCAGTAGGCCGCACCCACCCTGGCCACACTCACTCGGCCCCCGAGGGCAACTGCAATGCTGATGCAGCCCTCAATGAAATTGAGTTTGACACCCCTGCACTAACCCATAGGATAATTTGGATCTGATGCTGATCCTGAGGGTGGTCCTATCTTTCCTGTTGCCAAGCATAATAAAGACTCAAATCTATTTGCTTCAAGAAAGGATAACTGTCTTCATCAAGTTATCCAGAAACCTTTCTAATCGGCTATGATTCTTTATACTCAATAGTTGCTAACATTTACAGCAGATATAATAATAAGGTAATTATTTAGAGGTGGCAGACTTTATATCCCCTGTAACCTGACTTCTGCACTAAAATGAGCCATGTATAAGTGTGAGGGGACAAGTGAACAATAGCGTACATTATTTTTTTGAAGATCTTTACATCAGAAATCAGCAACTGGCCCTCCTAAGTGATAATTGGCACCTGTTTTCCAACAAAAGGTGAAACCACAATTTGATGAGAGACAGAGTCATAGACAAAAGGGCGGCAGCAGCAAATGGAATATAGAATGACTAAGATTGGAGCTGAAATACCACTCCAGTGTTTTTCTGAGTCAAACCACTAAGCCGTAGATATTTAAATTTTCTGTGAGGAAAACTCCATCAAAAAGTCAGCTGTGGCTTTTTGTGCCAATCTGTGGCTGTTACGTGCCAATAATACATGATGGATTTTAATTATCTGAAGACGTTTTGGGACCTGGCACTGCCTGAAAAGCAGAAAATGAATAAGCATACTAATACAGTATAAGAAGTTGGTCTGCGTACCAGGTTGACAAGGCAAGATTAGAAAAGGACGCAAACTATTACTGAGAAGAATTTTCTACTATGCCTTATTCATATTGTGTTTCATTAAACATTACTAATGGAAAGCAGCCTCAAATGCTGACAGAAGACCATAAAACTGACTCTGTAAAATTGTTCTCCTTCTCTTTAAACCTCTCTTCCTCCCTTCCCTTTTAGAGCAAAGCAGCTTTCTCCAACCAAGGGCCTACCAGTTGTGCTGGGAACGGTTATCTAACACATCTGAAGGGCATCACACCGGGGATAGATGGATTAGAGATAGAGGCCATACCTTTTTTAATTCTCTTACTCCAACAAAACAGAACAAAAGACAAAACTTCAAATTAAATTAGGAGTCTTTATTGTCTATGGATCTAAATACCTAGGACAGTGATGGCGAACCTTTTAGAGACCGAGTGCCCAAAAACTGGCCCCGCCCCTGCTTCACCCCCTGCCCCGCCCCCACCTGCCCGCAGGGCCACTCACCACCTCCAGGGCCCGCCGCAGATCGCCCAGGCAGCCCAGCAGCATCATTGCGGCCATGCCCTCTGCCTGCGCCCCGCAGCATCAACTGTGCGCGATGGGGTGTGAGGGCAGAGTCTTGTCTACATTGCCTGGCTGCCATGTCCTTGGCTGCGCTGCTCCGCATGGGCCACGCTCGGGGGCGACTCTCCTCCAGGGGGGCTGCTGGTGAGGAGGGGGTCACGGAGGAGGCAAGGCTGGGGCATCAGCATGTGTGCCCACAGAGAGGGCTCCGAGTGCTGCCTTTGGCACGCGTGGCATAGGTTCGCCACCACTGACCAGTTAATCGAGATAACTGCACATTAAGCCAGGGGTCCCCAACCCCCAGCCGCAGCCCACTACCGGGCCATGGCCTATTCAGAACTGGACTGCGTAAAAGGTGGGTGGGTACACATGTGCCCGCAGTTCCATTTGCATGTGTGCTCAAGCGCCACAGTTCCCCCTCCCCCCCAGCCGGGCCACCAAGTCGCAGAGGTTGGGGACCGCTGCATTAAGCCATTTCCCATTTTTGAAGCTGTTGGATCATATACTTCTAGAATGATGACACTGGTTGTTAATAACTGATGAAGCTTTGATGGTGGAGAAACAGTACAAGCTTTCAGGATAGGAAAAAAAGGATGCTCTGGAATGAGCCTCAACTTTATATTGTATTGGAAGCAACTTTGGGACAGTGATATTCATGAAGCCTTTATGATTGGCTGAGCAGTCTGGCTGTAACAGACAGATGAAGTTGGAGAACAGTGGTTGGACCCACATACCCTCCTGAGCCAAGCTTGTTCAATCATGAAGTCTTGAACGAGACACGGCATTCTTCAGTGCTAAACCCCAATAGGAAGATTCAAAGACTTTTTTTTGGTATGCCTTCAAGTCAATGTTGATTTCTGCCACCTGCCAGGACATGTTTCTGAGTTTCTTGGCAATACTTTCAAAGTGCTTTCCTTCTTCCTAGAACTGAGAGAGAGGGACTGGCCCAAACTCACCCAGCTGGCCTTGTGCCTAAGGTAGCACTAGAACTCACAGAATCCCGGTTTCTAGCCTGGCGCCCTAACCACTGAACACACACACACACACAAATCATCATAGTCAAGGGCAATATAAAGTCCACCTAGGCTTCTGGATGCCATTGACTAAACTATCTGAGTCGCAAAGAAAAAAAGGCAAGCAAATGGATAAGGAAGCTTAGAAAAGGATAGAGAAAAAGAGCAGGTGACCCATCACTGATCAGCCAGGAGCCCGAGAAAACTGCATGATAAAGTGGCGCCAAGACGTTTGCAGAAAAGGGCTTGGAACTTGGAGAAAATGTGATTCAGGTGAGGAAGAAGCAGAGGAAAAAGCTGGAGGGAGAAGCCTGAGAGGAGAAAGAAAAACAGATCACCAGGTAGGTAAACAAAAAAGTTGCACTTGGCCAGGTTAGACTGCAGATAGACAGAATAAACAAAACAAAGGCAATCAAGCAACCAAATCTAGGAGACAAGAAGTCATGAAGAAATGTATTATACGAAAATGAGACGTACCTTTCCTTACAGTTTTAAAAAAGAGGTTGTATCCCCAACCATGTTGAAAGCATCATACGTACCATAAGGGGCTTTATGAAGTCCATATTATCCTGGAACACTCTTTCTAGAGAAGCAAGCTGTTCCTTCGACATAGAGCAAATTAAGGCACGGCTGCCATTGTTGATAGCCACCACTTCTGGCAGTTTGGTGAAATTGCACAAGTCTTCCACACTTATCCGGTAGCCAGATGTAATGATCTACAAATATTGTCCAGATGTTACGCCATTGGGAAATCAGCTTTTCTGCTTTCTAATCACAGTTCACAATACTAAAACTATATCGTTCCTGCCTACCCAAGTCTTGTATCCTCCAGAGATTATTTATTTCCCTATAATTGGCTGGGCTGGATGTGATAATGGAACACAGGGTTTAAGGACGGATACTTCTTACCTGTTGGAGACTGACCTCAGCATTCAGGATTTCATCTATATCAGGCTGTGATAGGGAAGCATTGTGATGGAGGAAGTCAGAGAACGTCTCGTTGACAAACAGAAAATCCCGAACTTTGACACCTGCCAGGCAATTAGGAAGTAAAATCCATTACAAAATAAAACAATGGATTTTTAAATGACATCCAAAGTCAATTTAAAAATGATATCTATATTAATATAGGCCAGTGGGTTAATAGCGATACACTCATCTTGAGCAGTCCCAGAGTCTATCATTCTGTGGCAAGGAAGAAAGGAAAAGAAACAGGGTAGAAAATCAATATTAGGTCTGCTCAATGGTCTGGGACTTGAGTGGAAAATGCTTCTGTAATGTATACGGAGAGGAAAGAGGCATTTTTTTGTTCCCATCTATCCATTTCATGTACCGCTAAGAGTTCTCATGTAGTGCAGCTAGTTCAACACAAGGAGATATCAAATATTCTGTACAGGTAGTCCTTGATTTACGAACATTGGTTCAGCAATTGAAGTTACCACAGTACTGAATGAATGGTGATTATGCCTGGTCCTTGGAATGGCCCCGATGCCCTTGTGGTCACGTGATCATGATCTGGGCATTTGGTAATCTGTTCCCACTACGACTTCATGTCTTCACCACTCTTTGCAACCTTCCTGCTGGCTTTCCCAGAAAGTCAATGGAGAAGTTGGCAAGTCATTGAATTTCTCCCAATTACGTATTTGCCTAGTCACTCTGAGATCATGCTACCATTCACACATTCCCATGCACTCTCCTCAATCCACACTGCACCCCACATCCCCGACCTGAGCAGCACTTTTCATGCATCCTCCCTGTCCTCCACATCTCTCGTGCACCCTCGCCTGCACCCGTGCACCCTCTCGCTCCCTGCCCCACCTGGCAGTAGACATTTACCTGCCTGCTAGCCTGGGACATACGATGTCCTGCCAGTATTCTCACCGACTTTGGTTGTGGGAAGCTGGCAGAAAGTTGCGTCACCTAACAACTGTGGGATTCAGTTAATCATGGCAACCCGGACTGCAGGGATTGCCTTCACTAAGTGATGTGATTGTGCTAACCGCATCAGTTAGCGATGGAAATGCCAATTCCAATTGTGATTGTAAATCAAGGATTACCTGTAATGCTAAAAGGCAGGGAGAAAAAAAAATAGGCATAGTCCTGACTTGCATTAAGGATTGGCTCGGGCCACTTAAATTTTGGGATGGATTCAGAAAACTCTGTGGAACAGGTTTTCTCCCCCTCTCTACAGTAAATCAGTCTGGCCTGAATCAGCCTATTGTGTCTCCTAACTGTATCTCTGGCTAAGGAAGACGGTCTAATCATTAGTTTTGAGCTGTGGCTTTATTTAAGCTGCCAGTTCGGCCGGAGGGCCCTTTACTTTTTGTAATGTTTTTAGAAAGTTGATTGGGGCAAAATATGTATAAAGTTCAAAAGAATCAGAGTATAATTTATGGGAATAATAATAATAATAATAATAATAATAATAATAATAATAATAATAATAATAATAATAAAGTTGGAAGGACCTTGGAGGTCATCTAGTCCAACCCCCTGCTCAGGCAGGAAACCCTATACCATTTCGGACAAATGGCTGTCCAGTCTCTTCTTAAAAACTTCCAGTTTTGGAGCATTCACCACTTCTGGAGGCAGATTGTTCCACTGGTTAATTGTTCTCACTGTCAGGAAGTTTCCCCTTAGTTCTAGGTTGCTTCTCTCCTTGATTAGTTTCCACTCGTTGCTTCTTGTCCTGCCTTCAGGCGCTCTGGGGAATAGCTTGACTCCCTCTTCTTTGTGGCAGCCCCTGAGATATTGGAATACTGCTATCATGTCCCCCCTCGTCCTTCTCTTCGTTAAACTAGACATACCCAATTCCAGCAACCGTTCCTTATATGCTTTAGCCTCCAGTCCCCTAATCATCTTTGTTGCTCTTCTCTGTACTCTTTCTAAAGTCTCAACATCTTTTTTACATCGTGGTGACCAAAACTGGATGCAGTATTCCAAGTGTGGCCTTACCAAGGCATTGTAAAGTGGTATTAACACTTCACGTGATCTTGATTCTATCCCTCTGTTAATGCTATAAACCTCTTTCCTTTTTTTTTTTTTTTTTAGCCACTTAGGCTGCTTGGTAGCAACATGCCAGCTATCTTTTGGGAAATGTCATCTGCCAGAAAAACAATTAAAACACTTTCAGAATTACAGATAATTAAGAAAGTACATATGTTTTCCTTTCCTTGAATGTACAGTATGAAGATCTGTATAACTCAAAAGCGCTAAGCCTGCCTTTGAAAAACCACCAGCACAAATATTGTTAAAAAGGCCTTCTCTGAATGGCTTTATTATTCTTCTGTTTTGCTTTGCTCTTTTCGCTGTGGAAAATCCATGATTATGCTGAGTAGGAACTTTAAGAATGGCAATCCCAGCATTTTTGAAGAGCACCACGTTGGAGAAGGTACTCTCGCAGTGTGCGTTGGGTCACAGATGTGGAGAAAACATGTCAGATCTTCAGGAAGACTAGCTGGCTTTTAAAAATTTTAATCTGCTCAAAGGGTTTATAAATATATATGAATGCTCAGAGTGCCAGGAAGCTTGGAATGAGAATCCCAATCCCAAAAGAAGGAATGGAACAAGAACTGTCTATGTAGGAGGAGTGGGGAAAAGGCAGAAGCTCCACGGGCTAAGAAAAATGGACTCTCCTCTCTCCTTTTATGTCATTCCAAATTATTGCTGTCTTAGTCAGACCCAGTTTGGCAGACACCAGTCCGGTAGAAGATTACGAGGCGAAGAAAAAAACACACTGCTTTCTAGTCTTCAGCTCTAGCATGAGGTTTCCGGGGTTACTGCCGGTCAATGCTCTCTCGCCCAGTTCCTTGTCGCTTTTTTTTTGTTTCTTACAAGCGAAATTGTCAGCAGATGGTTTGAGACAAAGAGGTTACTTGAGGCTGAAAAGCCTTTTAGAGCTATTTGTCATAGTCTCGAGTCAATTTGATCAGAGAAAGAAGAAGAGGAAGGGAAAGAAGACGTTTGGGAAGAAAGCTAAAAAGAAATATTGTGATGTCAGCGCAAAAAATGGATAGGCAATTTGCTACCCTCCAGAGGTTTGGGACTCCAATTCCTATTATCCCCACTCACATGCTCGGAGGCAGTGGACTGTCTCTCTCCCACAGCTTTAACGGGAGGGGGCAACCCAGTTATGGATCTCTAAAATAAGTTTAATTTTAGTCCTGCGGCATCCTTGCACCACTACAAACAAGATGTAACAGTTGGTTCCCATGCCGATGCTATTCAGGAGACTGTTATGTAAACACCTAACTGCAAGCTTCTCTGCTATCAGTAAAAAAAACCAACTTCCTCTCCGGATCACAAGAAAGCTGATAGAAAAAAAAAACCCTTTAAAAAATTTCCATCCCAATGACATCCATGCAGGAAGGGGCAAAGGAGAGGAAAATTACAGCAGCATTACATCCATGCAATGCAATGCAAACTCAGTTTTTTGACATCCTGCATGTATACAAAAGACATGGAGCTTATTAATTTGATGGAGATGGTGGATCCTTCACCATAACATTTTAAGGATAAATTGGTTCTAACTGGAAACAGTTCAATTGCTCAAATCCCCATCCCTTTCAACTTAATAAATCTCACTAAAGAAAACTGCAAAAATCTTGCCTGGTTGGAGGCAGCTGCCAAACAGGTTGATACAAAGAGGTCGCTGTGTTCCCCAAAACAATTGAGATCAAAGTGTGCTCCATTCTAGCATCCTGTTTCTTATAAACAGATTCCTGATTCTGATAGACATATTTAGCAAAGCTTCCAAAATGAAAGGAAAACACGGGAAAGACCTACCTAAACATTCATTAAAAATAAAAACACAAAATCATCTTAGCTAATAGCACTTATCCCAGATAGGGAATTATTTTAAAAATGAGGCACCACCACAGAAAACATGGATTCTGGATATCGTCCGTCTTAGATGTTGAACACACCCAGAAGATTAGTTTTAAAGAAGATCTCAAGCTAAATTAGGTTGATATAGACACAAACATTCTTTCAGAAGCCTTGTGTAATAAATCTTGCAGGATTTGAAAGGTAAGCACCCTATTGTGAATTTTAGTTAGAAATAGCCCCATGTAATAATCCGACCTGTTACCAAAATGTGGACAATGGTAGACAGTCATTCTCTGCCTAGGAGAAAATGGAGAACATCTAGCAACTTTACAGCTAGCATTGTTACAGATTTTTCTTGCCAAGGCTTAGAAGAGAAACTCCAAATTGACTAAGCCCTAAGGAAAGTTTATCATTTTCAGACTTGTGACTTGATAAATCTTCTGCCCACATATATTCCACACAAAGCCTCACTCCCATCCTGGGTGCCCTCTTATCCAGAAATGAAATTTAAAGCCACAGATATAACTGATAGCACCATAAACATAATAGGTTGCATGCTTCACTGTTTAATGTTCATAGCTCTTGGATAGACAATACTGTACATACATCAGTTCTGCTACTGTAAATTATGGGAGGGTAAGGTGGAAGGCCAGAAGGGGCTGCATTTTGCAAGAAGGAAATCAACATCAAACAGGAATACATATATCTTTTCAATAGAGAAGAAATCACAGAGAACCCCTATGATTGGCAAAATCAAAAATGTTTTTCTACAGTATAATGTCACTGTGTTCCCCAAAGTAATTGAGATCAAAGTGTGCTCCACTCTAGCATATACATATTTAGCAAAGCTTGAAATAGTATATAAATTGTTTTAAAATATTGGTTTAGTTTTCAATTATGAATATGTTTAGTCATTACAAATTAATCTATATAGCTAAGGAGAGGAGCATTTAGATCTGCCTCCTGGAGGATATCCAAACTTCCATAACATTTATAGAAATTCACAGGAGCACTATTTCAGATTTTAACATGTAGGGGTTGATCCTCTTCCCCCCCACCTTTATTGTGAAGTTGTGTTGCTTGTTGGCTCCATCATTTTGCCTTCTTTTGCTCCATAAAAGTGAGGCTACATCCCATTTGCCTAACCATGAATTTGCAATGGTTGCCTGCTCCAAATTCATATTAAAATTCAGAAGCCATTTGA